AGCCGGCAGTAATGGAGTTTTTCCACTACATTAGAGCATCAGAGCACCTGACAACGGCTGCAGCGCTCCACATAATTAGTCTTTCATGTCGTTTAGAAGTTAACGCGAGGCGACAGATTCGGTTCACGACTAGTTCTCGTCATAACGTGATTAGGAGAGGAGAACTGCTGCAGCCTGTTACTTGACCTGTAACGCTGTTTATCACCAAACAACCGTTACACGCGTGACCTGCTTCATAACCCAGACGAGGATTTGACTGATGAGTTTCTCAGCGCCACGATTCTGACATTTGACGAAGGTGACGCAATAATTCACCCGCTAACCCTCGAAAACACGCCGGCGGCATTTAAAAGGCACGTGATTCATCACAGCAAGGAACCGTGAGGTGGGAAAAGAACCGACGGATGTTCATTCTTCTTGTGCTGCTAGAACTAATCATGTATGATGACGGGTTTCATCAGCAAAAATACCCAAATATACGATAAAATCTGTGAGTTTCATTAAAAAAATCAGTGAAAATATAATTCTCTGCTTCTCAACCTGTGACCAACAGACGCTTTGGCTGAACTAGACTGAACTGCAGGCTGCGTATGCACAAATGTCCATCCATCATCTCTACACCTTAATCCTCACCAGGGTCATAGGGGGCGGAGCCTATCCCAGCTGACTCAGGGTGAAGGCAGGTTCACCTGGACAGGTAACCAGTCTATCACAGGGCTACACTTAGAGACAGACAACCAAGCACACTCACATTCACACCTACGGACAATTTACAATCACCAATTAACCTCAGCATGTTTCTGGACTGTGGGAGGAAGCCGGAGAACCCGGAGAGAACCCACGCTGCACGGGGAGAACATGGAGACTCCATGCAGAAAGATCCCGGGTGTCCTCACTGGGACACGAACTGGCGACCTTCTAGCTGTGAGGCCACAGTGCTGACCACCAAACCACCTTGCAGCCCATGCACAAACATAAGTAAGATAGATAGATATCTACAGCATGTAGAGCTGCTGGTTCTTGTTTTTCCAGTACAGGTAGTCCCTGTGGGCACTCATACACGTTTCTTTTGTTTTCTTCAAATTTTTGTTCAATCAAATCAAGAAATTCAACTTTTCGTTTTTCTTTGATATTTGACTTATGACATTATAATCTCCCTACAGAGTTCACAGGAGTGTTTTAGGTTTTCTCCACTTCTGTCCGTGCTGTTTCCATCGAGGTGCAAAACTTTATATTGCAGTAAAAAAAGCGAGCGTCCAGAGGGTGAACTGATTAATCAGCTCACAGAACAATGCAAACTATTCAGACATTCAATTAACTGTTGACATCAGTCATCAAGCCATCACGTAGAAACACAGCTCTGGGCTTTTCTCTGCCGTCGAGTTGCACAAATGAGCGATTTGAAGACGTTGCACGGCTGATCAGAGACTACATCTGTTCGTCTCTTGTTGAAAACTTTGCCGCTAACTTCACTCAGATGTTGCGTAAAATCTACAAACAACAAAACCTGAACAAGAATGTCGTGAAGCTTCAGCGAGCCCATATCTGTAAGTGTCCCAAAACAAACTTTCAGCCACAATCCTTCACTTCCTTCCTTTAGTCTGGACTTTATCCAAACAGAAAACCACATATTTATAATAAACAGTGACCAAAGACACAATCGGTGTTCAGTTTCCTCATAATAAGAAAAAGAATGCAGAAAACAACCTTTTCCCTGCTGCTAATCGTACATTGTTGGGTTTTTAGTCACTTTTCATCTCTATTTTTTTTTTCTTATAAACCTCTAGTTTTGTTCGTTTGTTTCTTCCGTCGTACCGTTCCTGTGATGACACTAAAGATGAACCATGTGCGTCCAGCTCCTACCTGGTTGATGATGTAGATGCCGTAGTCGATCTTCTGCCGCCGGAGGATGGGGTGGAGGTAGTGCAGCCAGTACTTCAGGTGGTTCTCCCTGTGACGGAACGGGATGATGACGGCCACCTGAAACCGACACCTTCACGTTACTCTCCATTTGTATTCCACGTCTGCCGCAGACACAGCTTGCTGATCTTATTGCGGCGCAGTCAGCCGGAGAACCGTTTAATTCAATCAGCTAAACATAAGCAGACACATGTTCGACCAGCGACTGAAGCTGTTCTTAAATGAGCTCGGTGTCATCCTGCAGTCCCCCCGGTTAATGTCCCGCTTTACAGAAAGCCGGTCCTCATTCATAATGAACGAAGCAGCTCGAGGTGGAGACAGGTGTGAGGCCCGGACCGTCCTGCACCTGAGTGAACTTGGGTTTACCCTGAGTTTATGGTGATTTCCTGCTCAGGTGAAGACTGGCGGCAGGCTGACCTTGGTTTCTGTAGTTAAGCATCACGATGAGCGACCGCCACCGCCGATGGAGGAACCCTGAACTCAGAGAGGCGTCGCGTGGAGGAGAAACACTCAGAAAGATTGATTGTCTTCACTACAAAATGTGTTGCAGAACTTAGCATGAGAGGAGAGAAGCTGCTCTGGTTTGCCTCTTAAAACTTTACTAAGCTTCTGCCACATAAAGCAAAAACGTAGGGATGTCGTCCAACTCTCGATTTACCGACATCTGTTTGCTCCTGCAGCCTGTTTCTACGCTTCACGACGCGGTTTGACGTCGTCGTCATTTGCGCGCCGGTGAATGAAATCCAGGCATTATTTGATCGGTTTGCATTATAGGTAAAAAAAAAAAACAACCTGATAACGATATTGACAGATATTAATTTTTTATGTCAATATCCCTAAAAAACAGCATCGAATGTGGTATAAAAATGTCAAAGATCATTCGTGAGTCACATCATCTTAACTGAGGTAAATAAACTTCCTCAGCTTTAAAGTCTACTTTCAGGATTTTGACTAAAAACTCTTTAATCTGGATTTAAAAACAAAGACTCCTCATGATTGTGCCATCATCTAATACTTTTTTCTTTAGTATTACACGACACCGACGTACAGTTTCCTCATTTTTTTGACTAATTTATCATAATGTGGACATAGTTTGGACTTTTTTTAATCATGCATAACTTTTCTTCACAATCTTTTGCTTCCATGGAGAATGTTTGCAGAGTGAAACGCAGTATATTCAAAATAAATGAAATGCAAACAGCGGCGCAGACCTTCCATCTGGGCCGGCAGTCGGGAGGCGTGTAGCGGCCTCCCTCCGTCACGTTGGGGTTTTCTTTCTGCACTCGTTCCATCGTCATCTGGGAGCTGAACTCGATCAACAGACGCCCCACTGAGGAAACAAGAAAAAAGGGAAGAGTTAGCGAGATGAAGATAATAACACGAGAGGCAGCGTTTAGCTTCAAAGCAACACTCGGAGCAACGTGTGCAGAAATGCTGGTTTCCAGGGAAGCTCTGTGCATAATGCAGCGTTTAATAAAATGCACAGGCTCCGGAAAACATATAGTCCTAAAAAACAAACCGAGTCTTTGAAGCTGGTGAATATGAGCCCAACATGGAGGGTAATTATGCTGCAGCATATGTTGTCTCCATCAGTCCTCTGACGGATCAAACGCCACCGATGCACACATGCACCAGTTCAGACTAATTTAAAGGAGGGTCGGCTCTAAATCTCCGGCCTGGACGATGAATGCAGCCCCTCGCTCTGACAACCGGCATCATTAAAACACACGAGCGAGCTTTGCTGTTTGGGCGGCGACCAGAACCTCGCTCTAACAACCGGACCCAGCGTGTCACTCATTAGTCTGTGTTCTCCTTCAGCGTCGGACCAGCAGCTCATTAGCGGATTCATCAAGCATCATCTGATGGAGAAACACAAAAATAAGGGGACAGAGAGTCACGTCTGCTCAGGAGGATTTGTGATCTAATGCTCTCAGTCTACAGGGCAGACTGGGCCAGACGAGCCTTGTTTCTACAGAACCACAGAAGACATCGGTCATGTGGAGAGGAATCCATTAAAGTCTCCCAGTGACCAGGAGGAGCAGGTGGAGTCAGAGGTGAGCACATGTCAGCGAACAATTACTGACACGTCTGAAACCATTTCACGTGTGTTCGTGCATCAGGAAGCGACCGTCTGAGGCTAAACTGTTAGCACGACGTTAGCGCTGAACAGCCTGGACGAAGCAGTTTTGTTAAACTGGTGTTAGTGGGGTTAGATGAGCCAGAAGGCCGGCGAGGAAATCATCTGTAGAAAACAGGTGATCAAGAAACTAACACTTCAGAAACCCACCGGACGGCGTTTCTGTTCCCCTGCAGGGTGGAGAGCTTTCTGGTTGCGTGGTGAGACGTGCAGTGGATCTGAACTTATTTAGATTTTTTTTAAAAATAATTATAACAAAATATGTAACCTATACATCCCAGACTCAGAGGGACATAACCGTCCAACAGACAGACAAATCAAAACCAAATTAAATAAAACATTCGAGCTATTCGGCAGACATCAATCGACATTAACATGAAACTGTTTTATTGTTTTACTATTGATTAGAATTTAATTGTATTTTGCATTTTAGACGTTTTATATTGTTTTATATTTTGTGTTCAGCACTTTGTTTCGACTTTTGTCGTGTTAAAGTGCTTTATAAATAAAGTTGAGTTGAGAGCTCAGCTCAGATATAAATGCTCAGACTTCATTTCTGCCACTGTGCAGCGTTACAGGAGCGTTGAGACGCCTCTGCAGTCCTCTTAAACGTTTGTGATCAGCATCATTGTTGTTAAAGACGCTTGAAACAAACCAGTTCCTGTGCTGCTGACAGGAAGCAGCTGCCTACCTGAGCATGTGCAGACCTTCTGAGCAGACAGGTGGAGACAACATTTTGTTTTTCTGTTTGTTTTAGACAAAGCTGCAATTTTTGAAGTTACGTTTACTCGTCTGAATAAAGCAGCCTGTTAAAGAAAACCAAAGTCTTCACCTGAGTTTCTTCCCATCTCGTCCTGGAGGTTAAACAGGAAGCATGTGTCCAAAGCAGCTCTTTTATTGGTTCAACGGGTAGGTGGGGCCTCAGATATGATTGGATTAGAGATGTGTCCTGATTGGTCAGTTTGAACTGGGAAGGCAGCTCCTGACCTTTATCTAGAGTTGAAACCAGAAGTTTACATCCACTGTATAAAAAGACATAAAACCTTTTCTTTCTCACCGTCTGACATTAAATCAGACTAAACTTTTCCTGTTTCAGCTCAGTCAGGATCACCAACATTATCTCTAAAGGTTTGTGTCTTTTATCCAGTCGATGTAAACTTCTGGTTCCATCTGTATTTATTATGAGTTTACTGGCGACTCCTCAGACTTCTAACTGTTGAATGGAAGTTGTGAAAGTGTTTTGTTTTTTTTTATTGCATAAGAAGGAACGATGACGGGATCAGACGCTGCCTGGCGATCAGACGTCTACAGTTCGTAGTACATTTAACGCAGGTGTTTTCAGTTTATTCAGAATTTCTCCTAAAAGTGTTTTTTGTGGCTCAAATATGATTAATAGGTGTCTTTTTTTTTCACACAGATAATTTACATGAATAAAACGTTTACTTACTGCAAGTCTTAGTCGACAAGAAACATTTTTAAAAGTTAGGAAAGTAAAATGTTTTATAACTTTTTGTTCTTTTTGCTGTTTGTTTAAAAATTGCAAATAAAAAGCTTCAGATTTATTTTCGCCGGCCTGATGTTCGTCCCCCAGACGTTTACAGCTGTTCAGCGACAAACTCGTCGGATGTGGTCGTTCTCTGGAAAGTCACGCACGGCGCTGAATGTGACCAAGAAGTTAAAAATCCTGCACACCTTTCCACCTCGGCTCACCTGCCCGCTCGCTGTCGGACTGTCAGTCTCGTAAAGCTGCAAAATCTGAGCTGCAGATGTCACATGAAAGATGCTGTTCAATAAGAAAACTGTAAAAGTAAACAAAGGATGAACCTAACAGACGCTGAGATGATGCACATTATCTCAGAAGTTAACCTTCAGCCGCTGTGTTGACATCCGGTTGTCACGTGATGCACAGCGAGGCGCACACGAGTCAACGAGGCCGTAATTCGTTTAGCATCGGCGTCTCCTCCAATCAGCAGCGAGCAGGTGAGGAGAGCGATCGATGCCAACCAGGTTACGTGTTCATAACACGCCTCTTTATCGCACCACAAGAGCTCAACGCAAATACGACCGCTTCACCTCCATCTTCCCCGCCGCCGCCGCCGCCGCTCGTTTCTCCTCTTCCCTCTCTAATGAGACAGTAAGTGGAACACGGTGTTTTCATCTCGTCTCAGCGGTTCTGGTACTTAGCAGCAAAAAAAAACTACAGAAAACAACTTCTAGCACAAAAGACGCTATTTTAAGATCACAACTTGTGTTTTTGTTTGTTTGTTTTAACACAAAAACGATTTAACAAGCGGGGCGTCAGTTTAACGGCGCGGTGGCAGATTTTAAATATAAATCCTCATCTCAGCCGGCTCACCATCCCTCTTAAATTTAAGCAAATAACCCACTTCAGAGACCTATATCATGCTTTATTCAGGGCAAGACTTCAACCCGGCACGAGGCAGCGTTGTGTGTTTCTAGTGCACTGTGTCTCTAATGTCAGTGTGTGGTATGTATTAGGTTCTCTGGAAGCCCACAGACTATAATCAGGGCTATAATAGCTCCTCTGGAGGATTAAAGCTAGACTTGAAGGGAATTATCTCCCCCAAACATGATGCAGTAACATGACGGCGATGCAGTTTAACAAGTAGCCTCAAAGTGATGATCTCAATCCTACATCACTTCATTTTGAAATATTCGCTCTGAACTTGTGTAAAAACTCCAAACATCACTCATGTTGTAGCACTGAGGTGTTTCTTATCAGTATCTTAAACAAAACTTTGTAAAAGGAACATTTTCTGTCTTAATGAGGCTCAGATGAGAATGATGATGCCACTCTCGGCCAGCAGGGGGCGACTCCTCTGTCCCGCTGAATAGAAGTCGATGAGGAAACAACTTTTCACTTGATTTGTTATCTCAGTAAATGTCTTCCTCGTGAAGTCATGGTCTTAACTGTTAGTTTTACATCTACTTCAACAAGGCATGATGTTAAATTTGTACAGTAAGGCTCCTTTTAAAATTAAACAGACCATAAAGCGGGCATGTTTGTGGGCGGGGCTAGCTTGTGATTGACAGGTTGCTACCGTATGAGTGTTTTCAGATCAAATGAGCAAGATGATGCTTCAGTCCGGTGATCTACGGACTGATGGATGATGCATCTATATTTCTATGTACAGTGAAAACGACAGCATGCTTCAGTAACAGCACCTCTCAGAACTACACTGGGTTTAGTTGTAGAGGGAGCTGCTAAATAAACCGACTTCCTGGTGGAGCTACTGCGGCTGCTGCTCCGTCTCCTTGGCAGCAGGGTGCAGGGACCTCCTGCCGATAAGCTGCTTGTCAAAGACTGTTACAGCCCTGAACACCTTGGAAGAACCACTGAACCTGTAGCTGCTCCGTTGCTTGTAGCCTCGGTGAGAAACTGAGTTAAATGCCTCCAGATTCCAGCTCTGAATTCAAAACAGAGACAAAAAAAAGAACAAAACTTTCTCCTCGTCTCCTGGCCAGACATGAGCACCTGTGCTGCCAGCTGACGGCCGTCATTAAATGCTGATCTGCAGGATCTAGATTATCTTCGCTGATGAAAACTGATCAGCTACACAGAAAATTGTCACGTTGAATGAAAGCCGGCGACGCTTTGGAGGCTGTCGAGCTCGTAGCGGCGCAGCTACAGGGACGGAAACACAAACACAACGGAATTAAATAAATACGGATATGAATGTGCTGCACTGACACAAAAGTCATGAATATTACAAAAAGGGTGTGTGTGTGTATGTGTGTGTGTGTCTGTGTGTGTGTGTGTGTGCGCTAAAAGACAGACAGGGAGGAAATGTGCATGATTGTGAATAAAAGGAGAATGTGAGTTTGGAGGAAGGAATGATAAATGAGAGCGGTAATGTGTTGAACGTTGATAGTGGTTCAATTATCCAACACACACACACACACACACACACACACACACACAGTGCTTATCTATGTGGTGATATTACAGTAATACATTATAATCACGCTGCTTGATCGCTCTATCCAGGACGCCTGCTGCACTTTGGGGGATACATCACTACTTCGTCTGCAAATATGCAAAGCAATAAGTGCGCGCACACACACACACACACACACACACACACACACACACACACACACACACACACACACAGACGCTGTGTACCAGCCGATCGCCCTCCCACACACAGTAATAATGAACCGAATCTCCG